TAAATTACGTCATTAAAGTGTACTACACTTTCAAGAAAAACAGCGTGTAATGACGTAACTCAACGTCACTTCCGGCAAGAAAAACGCTAAAGTGTACACTTTACACTAAAGTGTATAAACTGTATGCAAGAAAAACAGACCTCATAAGTTCTCGCTTGAGTGTATGCCCCTACCACCTCAGTATTTTTATTGCTAGCCGGCCAGAGTTTGCAACTCTGGATGGAGGCCGTTCAGTCTGTCAGTTACATTCGAAGCGGGAGGACGGTTTGCGTCCTGTTGCGTAATACTGACGACTACGTGACTGCCATTTCCGCCTCTCTTTTCTCATACCGAATATCTATGTTAGCGTACTTTTTTGGAAAATATGTATAAAAACGGAGCACCCTCGGAGGTCAATGACTTTAACATATGTTGTCAAGGACACCTTCCTGAACAACAATCTGCAACTTTTCGCCGTCGCTCGGTGTTTGTTAAAAAATTATAAACAAAAGAAATATCATAAATGAACTCTTATTTTCCGACACCGTGTACATTTTGTTTGTGTCGTAAGCGTGTAGGCAGGGGGGGCTGAGCCTCCCCGCAAGGGAAGGGGCTTTCCTCTCCCCTTTGCTTCCCCTTCACGAAAAAATGAAGGCATATAACAACATCAATATGCANGGTTACACTCACCATACAGTAAATCACAAAGAAAATTTTGTAGATTCTCATATTAAGTGTCACACGCGAAACATCGAAAGAATTTGGCGAGATATGCGAAGTACTATTCCACGTTTCGGGACATCGGTAAAACATTAATTGAATTGTTCACTTGACATTTAATTGAATTCTTCATTTTTTCGTGAGGGAGGAGCAGGGGGGTGGGGCGCAGCCCCCCTTGCCTACACACTTACAACACAAACAAAATGTACACAATGTAGGAAAATAACAGTTTATTGCCGCAACTTNTTTTGTTTATAATTTTTTAACGAAAAACGAGCGACGGCTAAAAGTTGCAGATTGTTGTTCAGGAAGGTGTCTTTGACAACATATGTTAAAGTCATTGACCTCCGAGAGTGCTCCGTTTTTATACATATTTACCATCACATCTGGTGTTAGCTTGTTATTGCCAGTTCTTTAATTTTTTTTATTAAAATTTTATTATAGTTAAGAAGCAGCCGCGCCAAGTATTTTTATATGAAATATTTTTTGAAAACTGAAATATTTTTTGGAATATATTTTGAAAACATTTTTTCTTTTGTTACATCTCTATGTTTTAGTAATAAATATAATCTTACCAAAATACATAATTATGTACTTAGAAGTAGTTATTAATAATTACGGAAAAAAAGTTAAAGCGTAGTCTTACTATATGTATACTATATACACAATTATGTTATTGTATATTGTTTTTCAATATAATAACGTACAAAAGTTTACTTGGTGCTACTTTGTGATATTATTTCTTTTGTAAAACAGGTTTTTAGCCGCGCCAAGTTTTTTTGCATTAAATATTTTTTATTTTGACAAAATTTTTAGTTTTTAGTTTTTTTGTTTTTCACGGAAAGTTTTGCTGGGTCTACTTGTTAGTTTCACTACAAATCCTTTTGTTAATTTGATAGGCTCAGACAATTCTTTCTTTCAAAATTTTTTCCGTAACAAAAACTTAACAAAGTAGTTATGTATACTTAGATTAGGATAATAATGTACAAAAGTAACGTACAAAATTTACTTGGTGCTACTTTGTGATATCACTTTGTTTGTAAAACGGGTTTTTAGAGAAAGAATGTTTTGTAGTATATAAATGTTGTAAAACAGGTTTTATAGAGAAAGAAGTTTTTGGAGTATAAATAAAAACATAATTTAATTTAAATACAATACGTGTTGTGCGTGTACTTGGCGCCTGTTTTTACCTTTTTTTAAAAAGGTAAGTTTTTAGAGTATCACACACTTTATATTTTAAGTTTTTTTTAGTTTCTCTAAAAAAAGAATATAACCATTTGTAGTTTTTGTATATACATTATTGGTGCTTCGAGAGTCGAAGTTTGGGAGTAAAGTTACCAGTATCACCATTTTGTTGGAACTAACATCATCAAAAAACCACTGTTCCGAGCAAGTTACCATTACTTAAGAGTTACCACCGTAATCCTTACGCCAACGTCGACAAGTTATCACCCTTAAGTCGCAACCACATAGCATCACAGTTAGTTGCAAAAATTAATAACTAACAAACTAAAGGAAATAGAGAAAAACGGTTTGCGCTATAATTCTCAGCACATCAAACTGCAAAATACCAGCCCGGTTTGAACATTCTAGGTTTTGTTTTTAACAATTGAATGTTTAAATAATAAAAATTATTAAACTTTTATTACGTGGTATTTTGCATTTAACTAATATAAAACAAGATCCAAAAACCATTTTGCTCTAACTTGTACCGTTCTCGAAATATTCAATTTGTTAACTTTCACTCTTTGTCATAAATCGCAGAGTAGCCGATTGAAGGTACCTGCAAGATTAGTTTCAAGCTATCCAGGGTCGGATTGGGAGACTTTTTCGGACCGAGCTTTGTATCACACCGGCCCACACAATCAGAAACAAAACAAAATATTACTTATAATATAGGCAGAGGATTGTAAGAATTATAGCTTTTTATTTAGTTATAATAGCTTTAATTGTAATAATTTTTTATTTTATAAGTATAATAACTTACTAAGATAAGAACTTTTTTGAGCAAGATTGTCAATAATATTATCATTGTCTAATGTTAAAAGGATATCTTTTTCTATTAACATCAAAAGAAACGTTTCTAAATGTTCTTGTGACAAACAATTTCTTAATCTATTTAATATATATTTTAATTTTGAAAATGTTGTTTTGCATTCTACTTGAGTACAGACGGCGTCATTAATTCGAAGAATAGGCGCGGGGATCGGAGGACAAGCGGGGCGGTTAGAAAGAAAGAGCAGTTACATTATCGACACGACGTAGTTGTGGACACCCGATTGCTACTTGTTAGTTAGTACGGCGCCCGTTGGCGCTACGAGCAACCGCCCCGCTTGCCCTCCGATCCCCGCGCCTATTCTTCGAATTAATGACGTCGTCTGTACAAGATAACGTTAACACATATTTATAAACAATCGGGATAAGCCAGTGTGTGTAGTCTGTACGTTGTTAAAACAACTACGCGTGTCGCGCCGGTTGCCGGTCGCGCGTCGCGCATCCCGCGATTGTCAACTGATAACGCGAGCAGCTGACTTTTCTTTAGTTGTACAAGCTTTTCCATAATACGTTGCGTTCACTATTGACCGAAACTTAGCTTCTCGCACATAATTTTAAACTTCAATCTACGCACAGACAAAAAAATGTAATGTAACATAAAATAATGCTACGTTATATTTTTTATCAGTGCGTTAAATAAAGTTTAAGATTACGTACAAATTTAAACTTTGGTCAGTATACGATGATAACGTAACGCAACGTAACACGTAAAAGCTTGTGCGGTGGCCCTTGAGGCCTTTTGACTCATCGGCCCTATTTGAACCGGCCCACCGAGCTTTTCTCGGTAGCTCGCCGTCCCAATCCGGGCCTGAAGCTATCTCTTCTGGTTCTCGAGATATTCGCGATTTGCGAAAAGAACTATGTATCGTTAAATGTAGAATATTAAAATAAGTGAAATGCGTATATTCGTTATTTATAAGCTTTATTATAAAACCGCGTTTTCGGGAACTTTCCAATCACCGAAGTAACATAGGTTGTAAAATAATAAAAAGAAAACCTTCGTTGTGCGTGATTCGTCGTGCGTGGACTTGACGCAAGGCACTACCATGCTTCTTGATGTTTCTCTCTTCTCTAACTTTCTTCTTAAAACGTGCTCGTTAAACAACACCATCTGGTAGCACAAATGTGAACATGCACATTCCTGAGTGTCCCACGACGATGAAAACGTTTCTTAATCGTGATTTACACGTCTATTTTTCATCTTATTCATTATCTTCGTTCAGAAGCCACAAACATACAAAACGTAAAAATACTTTTTTTTGTAATGTTTCATTCTGAAGCGAATGAGACTAAAACGAAATTAATCGGTTCAATCGTTCTTGAAAAATAACCTTGTAAAAAACTTCCCATTCTCTCATTTACTGAATTTCGCGTATATAAGAGGCACGGTGTGCTCGCGCAGTTCGAGCGTCACTTCGTTGCGCGTGAACTTGGCGCGAGGCACTACCGTGCCTCTTGATTATTATAGTTTTGTCGATTGAAGATGATTTAAATATAAGTTGAAACGTTTCGACACACAACACGTCTATATTGGCTGCTTTCCTTTTAGGAGACACAGTCGACACAAGTCGCACAAAAGTCATTCTGTCTTTCTTCAGTATTCAATAAGAAACAAAGACAGAATTACTATTGTGTCGACTTGTGTCGACTGTGTCTCTTAAAAGGAAAGCAGCTATTATTGCAAAACACTGCATTTGGTTCCTATTGGCCGATCACTCTACACAATTTAGTTTTATCGTACGAACCTGAGTACGTCCCTCATATCCACATATATAAAATAATATAATATATAATATATATTAAAACACACACACATATATGTATAAAATAAGTATATGAAAAAAATTAATGTTTTTGTATTTCATATATAGCTCAAATGAAAAACTGTTTCTACCAGAGCACGATTAAATCTCGTCGTAACTTCGGTCAACTTTCGCCGGTATTCTTCCTCTATCCGAGCCAGCATCATTGCGCGTTTATCTCTGGAAAGGATAATTTCTTGATAGACTTTCTCGGTGTCCTGTTGTACCTTCTCAGCCGCTTTACGTTCTTCCTTCTGCTGCTGAATCCAGTGACGCATCTGTTCTTTCTGCGCCTTTAGGCGCTCATGAAAATAGGGATCCTCGCCTTCAAACCTATACAACCACAATATTTTACCGTTTTTCCTCATCTTTATATTCGTAACTATTGCGCCAGATGAACAGGTAGCATAGATAAATTATTATTTCTCTTTGAGAATCTTTACAAAAAATACAGAACTCGCGTACAACTCGGCAGATCCGAGAAAAAAAGAATATATCAAGAGGTACAGTAATGCCTCGCGCCAAGTATATGCGCAAACGAAGTGCGCGCGCGCTGCGCGAGGTACCTCGTGCCTCTCTTATACGTGAGAATGGCCAAAAAGAGTTTTCAAGATTTTGAGATCTCAAGAACGGCTAAACCGATCGAGTTCGGCCTACACTCAATCGAAAGTTGAGATCGAAGCACGAAAAAAAATATTTCGCAGTTTTTTCCTTTGTGCCTTCTCAACGGAGATATCTCGGCCCAAAGTCCAAAATCTCGAAAAAGTAGGTTCACATAAAATTAAGAAACGTCCAAGTCGTCGTCCATATATATAATACTTCTATATTGCTAGTACGGTGCCGACCTGAAGTCCACATGTTACGGTGCAGACAATATAGTAGCCTCTCTCTCCAGCTGCTTTGTGCGCATGCAGTGAGCATTCAAGCACGTTTGGGCATTTCTCTTTCTCGCGTTCTTTCCAATGCTTTGTCTCGCTCGCACTCGCTTAGTAGACGCGCCTGCGCATAATGACGCTCGATTATCTATGCCCATATTTGGACTTCGTGCGTCTCTCTTTCTCGGGCCTCGTGCCTTTCATTGCGAAGATACGACTAGCAATATAGAAGTATTATATATATGTCGTCGTCGGACAGCATATAGCTGATCGAGCGTACTTCGCCTCTTGTCGCCGCCAGGTGACAACACTTTCGTACACAAGTTAAAGCCTGATCTACATTGATCGCAAGCGCAAACGCAAGGAACAGGTCTGGTAGAATTGACTAATCGTATTGATCAAATCAGCCAATTGACCAGCGTGATTGGTCAATTCTACGAGATCTATACCTTGCGTTTGCGCTTGCGATCAATGTAGAATGGGCTTAAGGTCTATCAGTATGCGTTCAATTTGAGAAAAGAATTTTACTGCGCATAGAGAAAGAAAAGCAGGCAAAGTAGGTGAGGGAAAGCGTTGCGTATAGGATTGTTGCTGAAATATTTTACAGTAAAGAGATTTTTTAGTAAAGGAAATGCGCAAAATACTTGCCCATTCGGTTTCTCTTCTCAAATTGAACGCAGTATAGATGTGTATCAGAAAGAAGCCTGAGAGCAACCACAGCTATAAGAGTTTCTGCGATAGCTTTTCGTGGACATGGTTCTATTCCGTGCTAAGTTTGTGGACATGGTTCTATTCCGTCCTATGAGACACCGACATGGTGAGGCTACGCACACAAGCGAGACCGTTGTGCGCTCGTGGAAGAGTGCAGATATATTATGTTGATGTATGACGACGGTTCTCGCTTGTGTGCGTATCCCCACTAAATAGGACCGCTGAGAAGTAATTATATACACGCTGTAAAAATAATGTGAAAAAGCGAAATAGAAAATACGATATATGTAGATATACGTAGATGTACTTTGAACATTATGCGCATGTGCACATATAATACATAAGGCCATTCTACAATGAATTGAAAATGTCCCGTTGCCAGTTTATTTAGTAATTACGAAAAAGAAAATATTATTTCTGGTTGCGCTTTGTTGTTGCGGTTGGTAGAAAAGAGTTGGTCATCTTTTAACTTTTGTTAACAGCAACTGGCAGCACGTAAAATAATACTTTTTTCCTAGTAGTCGCAACTGGCAACGGGACATTTTCAACTTATTGTAGAATGGCCCAGAGAGACAACAGAGGCTAATATAAAAAGTTGCGTTTAATTAAATAAGAAATATAAAAAATATTAAAAATCATTATATTATATATAAGTAAAACAAAACAAGTTCTTTTTAGGTATATTAACATTCAGAGAAAAAGGATGAGAAGTAAATAGTAAGAAGTGCATTGTGTTGCAGTAAAAGTGTTTGTCAAACCCATATTCTACAAAAATATGTGATATCCGAACAAAATACTTTTTCAAAAAACGGTAAAAAAATGGCGCCAAGTACACGCGCAACTCGTATCTCTAGAAAAAAAAGTATTAAAGTAAATGTCCCAATACTTAAACGTTTAAGAGAGCTGTTTAACTTATACAAATCATACTCGTATAATTTAACTTTTGTTGGTGAGTATTAGTATTTATTTAAAAAACCAGATTATATTTTCACTAAATAAAGTTTTAAAGAGCTGGTTTATAAAGAAAAACAAAGTAAATTAATCGAATTCTAACATACCTGCTATGGCCCAGTGCTTAAACAGGTTTTCTAACTTGTCCCAATACTTAAACTATCTTGTCCCAGTACTTAAACGCTATTATTAACACGACAATATAGAACAGGAAAAAAATTATTCATGCATTTTATTCCATGAAAAGTTATAGATTTATTACAAATCACTAAAAACTTTGAAGATTTTACAAAACTAGAGATTTTACAAAACTAGATTTTACTTAGAGTTTCATAACCTTTTGATAAGGTTATGAAAACAAGTCATCTACTTTATCATATAATATTTAAATATTTTAGTTAAAATATTATTATTTTAGTACGTTTAGATAAAATGAAACCATGAAAACACAAAACTACTTACTGATTTGTTGCAAATTATGTTTTGTCGCACAAATATCACTCAATACGTGTATGCAAGACTAACTACGCTATGATGAATCAAGTGTTTAACAACTCCGCCACCGGCAGATTCTCGTACCAGTACATAAACACGATAATTTATAACGATAACTAAAAATTAAAGATAGAATAAAGTTTTTTATCAATCTATAGTCTATACTGAGTTTGAAAAATCTTTGCTGAACAAAACGTTTATTTTGTGTATTTAATTATAACCTTAAGAAGAATATACTTTGTCTTACGCAAATTGCTAACGTAAGAGTTGAAAACGCAATAAATTTGCTACTACTCTCAAAAACTATTTTTTTCTTTATCACATCTACTGTTTAGAAAACTTTTATTACAATGTTTTAATAATAATACAATTAAAAATATTAATAAAACTTTTGATTATTGTAAATATCAGTAAAACAATTTAATATAAATGAAAATTCGAGTGAGTGTTTAAGTACTGGGACACGTTTAATCACTGGGACATTTACCTTACTATAAAAATCTTTCTTTACAAGATCTATTCTACAAAAGAAATGATATCAATAAGTTACGCCAAGTAAAAAATCTTTTATACATTGTCACAAAAATATATAAAACTTTGTAAGTTGTTTATACGTTGTAAAATAGAAAATATTTTAAATCAATAGGAAGTTTGAAATATTGTATGACCACTGCACTTTTTATATAAAGCACTCATTGATGTAAGAAATGACTTCGCCTTGCGTGGAAAATCTTAAACTATGTCGAATCATACATATAGATTTACATCAATGAGTGCTTTATATAAAAAGTGCAGTGGTTATACAATATTTTAAACTTTCTATTGATTTAAAATATTTTCTATTTTACTAACGTATAAACAACTTACAAAGTTTTATATATTTTACATATTTTTGTAACAATGTATAAAAGATTTTACTTGGCGTAACTTATTGATATCATTTCTTTTGTAGAATAGATCTTGTATATTATACAATAGTTATAGACCGTACTCATTTAGCATTGAAGCACAATACATGAAATTATATTACATCAAAAAATAAATTAGTAGTTTGCACGTCACTACTGATATTGTAAAGTAATAAAATTCGCTAAAATTTCTCTCTTATTTTACATTAATAACCCTAATAGGCACATTTGTAAAAATATTGCACAAAAATGGCATCATGAATAGCGACGATTTTGCAATGATTGCACAAAGATGATTCGCCATAACGCAACAGTTTTGTCGAAATAAAATTTTGTAAATAATATTTGTCAAAAATTGCGAAAAAGTCGTTATGCATTTTCACAATATATACCTCCAATAGGTAAATTGTGAAAATATAAAAGCGCATATAATTATATGCGTCTATTTAAATATTTAAACATTTATTTCATTATAGCATTACGTTTCAACTTTATATTAGATTTTTCTCAGTGGCAGAATATTTATACAGAATTGTTACAGAAATTTCACATAAATTGATTTGCCAACATATCGTATATAAGATCGTTGAATACAAATAATAATCTACAACTCATTGAGGTTAGCAGAAGATGTTGTTAACACGTTGAGCGCCACGCTGATTTTTAAGGAAGTCAGGTCATGCGCGCCGCTTAGAAGCGCTGAAATTGTAGGGCCAATGTTTCTTATTGCAGTAAAAGATAGTTTATGTTTAAATTTTCTGTAATTCCATAAAACAGTGTAAATTTTATAGTTCTATATCATGTTACACGCTGTCAGCCAGCGGTGATGGACGCGGCCTAAACGGCGTCAGCCACCGATGGCTGACGTGGCGCTCAACGTGTTAATGTACACCAGACATGTCCAAACGCCGATTCCGGAGCCGAAGCTGTGAGCAAATCCTTTCCCCTCTCGACTGGATATGTCTGATATAGACTATACTATAGTAACATTTAAATACTATAGTATAGTCTATATCAGATCAGTGGAAAGGAGGAAGATTTTGCCCACCGCTTCGGCTCCGGCGTTTGGACATGTGGTAAATGTTTACAAAAACGGGCCCAGCCCCGATGACTTTGACCTAGACATATGTTGTCAAGGACATATCCTTGAGTAACAATCGAAAGATTTTAGCCGTCGCTCGCTCTTCATTAAAAAGTTATAATCTTAAAAAAGTGTATCGAGTTTAGGTATATTGTTTACGTATACTGTCTAAATACACTTAAATATATATTTTTATACATAGAGGAGTTTTAAAGAAAATATTACAAGTACGTTCAATTATTTATTGGATATAGTTTGTTCATTATTTCAAAAAAAGTATCAATATGTTCATCAAAAGTATATAATCTTTTAAAGAAGAATTCGGCAATATAATGTTTATAATGATATTCTCGAGTGCCGAAACGTGGAAGATTAACGCGCAATTCTATTCACAATCTCTCTATATTCTGTGTTGTAAGCGTGTAGGCAGGGGATCTACAAACTTTTCTTTGTGATTTACTGTATGGTGCGTGTAACCATAAAAAATGCATATTGATGTTGTTATATGCCTTCATTTTTTCGTGAAGGGGGAGGGGCAAAGCCCCTTCCCCTGCGGGAGAACGTAGCCCTCCCTGCCTACACGCATACAACACAAACAAAATGTACATGATGTCGGAAAATAAGAATTTATTTATGAAAATTTTTTTAACAATTAATAAAGACTTAAGGCTCGTGAAATTTAAACCAATGAATGAATATAAGGCCTTA